ACCAGAATGATAGTATCCAAAGTAAATATTTGAATAAAGTTCATATATATTTATATTTATTTGAACAAATCTCTTACTCACGTAACGATGTAACAATTATAAGCTGTACTTAAGTAAATGAAATAGAAACCGTCTGCTTTACAATTTGTGTGCGCGCTTTCGTGCTCTCGTACATATATATATATAGATGTACATGTATAAATAAATATAGATTTCACTTTTTGCCGGTCAATCACTTAGATATCGCGAGATTCCCCTGAGATGTTGTAAATACGATGGTGATGGTAATAAAAGATGGAGTTAAGAATGGAAAACGAGCCCAAAGTTTAGAATTGGAGGCACATAGTTGATCCGCGATGGCGTTGCAAGATAGGTGTATAATATAAATGTATACACAGATATATTGCACTCTCGTGCTGTGACTGAGAGAAAAAGTTCCGTTGCGTTTGGTATGCTAAAACAATACTAATGATAAAACAAAAAAAACTACGTAGGTACCTCAAAGGTATACTTTATTATACTACTGGCTGTTGAACATAGGATATAAATTATAGGTTTAATTATTGTACACAGGAAGACAAAAAATAGAGCACTATAACTTTTTTAAATACAATTGGTAACGTTGTGTGTCGTTGTCGATGTCCCTGCTATAGGTGATGCGTTGGTTAGCGATGGCTCTGCCAAAAGTTGGGCCGGAAGCGGTACCCCCTCATCCTCCAGGGTAAGAACCCACATTCCGACAATCATACTTTACGTATATATACTTTACCTACTTTTTTAAATTAATTTTTTATTTGTATGCTCTCTGTCTATTACCCTTTTTCTTGCTTGGCTTCAACAATATACTTTATTGTGCACGACATATTCATTCAAGTTACTTTTTATTATTAATATCCTTTTTAGTTTTCTCGTTTTGATCGTTAGGTATACGATTANAACTTCTCCCTCTTCTCCTTGTTCGCCTGGTAAACCATCTTCACCGGGCTCACCCTCCATGCCTGGCATTCCACGCGGACCTAATAGTCATTCATACAGTTTAAAATTTGATGCAAAACTTTGCAAATAAAAAAAATTGTAGTACTAGTGTATTACCTTCAGGCCCCATGAAACCGACATCCCCAATCATTCCTTTTTCGGCCTTTGGACCAGGGAGATACGTGCCCATCTCACCTTTCATACCCTATTGATTAATACAAAAAGTTAAAAATGTAAAGACTACGAATATTTGCCACAACATAGCAAACTTTTTAAATGGTAAAACTGGAGTCTTACTTTACGGCCACTTCTGCCTTGAGGACCAGGTCGACCGCTATCGCCGTAGTCACCTCTTTCACCCTTCAATCCTGGTAATCCCATAATACCAGCAAATCCCTCATCGCCCATCTCTCCTTTCATTCCGGGCCTTCCATCTAACCCTGGAAAACCATAGTCACCCTGTTCTCCTTTGACGCTTGAGCTTGGTAATCCAACATCACCAAGGAAACCTTTGGGCCCCATACGCCCTTTTTCTCCTGGCCTGCCTTCGAAACCAGGTGCCCCAGGATATCCTATGTATCCTCTCGGTCCTTAAAGTTTTGAGGATTAAGTTATCAATTATTTTCATCAAATACGTACTATACCTACGCGTCTTTTTAAAATCGAACTGAGCCGAAATGCTTTCAAATCTAGTTTGAAATATCGAGTAAATTTATATAAACAATTATAGTTTTTCAGCAATTATCGAGAGAAAAACGTGTTAAGTGTAGAAGTAGTGCCCGGTATTATATTATATTAACTACTATACTTTTCTTGTAGATGTGTTTCCAGGGATAATCTTATTTAGATCCACACCAAGATGGATAAGCTAACGTATCTGCTTGTGAAAAACACATCGTGTCATAACGCAGTGTTAACCTCCCAGGAGAAGGTCCAATTATTTTAGGGACCAGCTCATCACTGGTAAAGCCGGCGCTCTCTGTCGGAGCATCGGATTGGCTAATCCTCTATTTACTATAATATATAATATATACCTAATAGGGAATTCACTATTAAATAAAACGAAAACTATTACCGAAAACATAATTGTTACATTGTATATTATAATAATAATAATATTAAGATTTATTATTTTATTATTATAATTCTACTACTATTACTGTAATTATTATTGCTATTTCTACTCTAATTATAACGATTATAATATTAATATTGATACTGGCGTATGCATATTTTTACTCTTAATGAAGGGTACTTTATGCGAATATATGCCGAGCGATTCGTCTCTCGTATTTGCAATCACAGATAAATAAAAAAAATCTGTTTTTAGGAGAACGTGTCTAGCCAAGACACTACACTAACTTTTATTCTGTAAAATAAAGCATGAAAAAAATTGTAGACGATTTTCGGCGCGTATAACAAAGCAAATAAGGACGAGGTTGTAAGCACGCACGAAACGAATCGCCCTGTAAATATTACCACATACGTATGTATGTAACTTAAATACGAGCGTGTGGTATGTTATACATAAGACCGTATGTATACGTATTAAGTGTATATATGCAAATCATACACATATATATATACATATATACATAGATACATATAAATGGAACAAAAAACAAAATGAACCTTCTATTTTGCATAGCTCCATATACTTTTGGGTCTTAGATGCGCACTAAATTACTTATACCTGAACAAAAAAAGCGTAAGAAAAAAAGATATGTTGTTACAGAGAATGAAAAATTTTTCAATTATATATGAATTTCTAATTATAATACACATAACGTATATGCAGGACGATACAAAAGCCAAAACACGTGAGACAAAAGTCGAAAATTTTCTAAGTGTTTTATTTTCATTTATTTATTGTAATTTCTCAAAATTATGTGATTTTTTAAAAATTGTTTTCCTTTGAAATGTTTGCAAATTGTACATCAGTTTGTACAAAGAGTCGAGCATATTATGTTGTATATACTTACGCAAATGCGGAATATACATATATATATATCTTTTTTTTTTTTTCTTGACGATCGCACTCATAATTACGTATACCAATGGACGAAAATGCATGTTAGGCAAAGTTACAAATAGACGGATTATGATTGCTAAAGCTTTTCAAGTTTTCGATATTCTTTTTACTCGTTTTCTTCTTTCTTACAAGTGAACTAGAAGATCTATTTGGATGTATTTTTCAGACAGAAAACGCTATACTCGTGCACTCGTTTTCTCGCATTATCATCGCGTGTGTGTTTCTTTTTCCTTTTGAATGGGCCGTCGTATGTCGCCACCTTTCCTCAATCCCCTGAAACTCCTTGTCTTCTTTGTTACTTAATAAAATAAGCATTTTTTCTTTTTTTTTTTTCGTTGAAGTTTGATAGCTCGCTGTTAGTGCCTCTGAGAAATAAAGTAACTTGTTGTTGAACAAGCTGATGATGTTACATTACTCTTTTATACAGTTAGTTTTTTATATTCTATTGTAATATTATATGCGAACTACATTAATTATCACGAATCTTAAATTTTTCTTAAAACAAGAGAGGGTAATTCATTGGTTTCATGAACAAAGATCTTTATATTATTTTATTTTTTTTTTATTTTTTATATGACGCACAGTCGAAGTAACTTCAGTCACGTAAAGACGTCGGGATGTAACTATTACCTCTAACTGTGAACTAGTTTTAAGACTCGAAAAATCATCAATATATTAATGTGCTCTTGATCTCAAAGATTGATTCCCTTCGTTGCGATTGATGAAAACGAATACATGAAAGGAATGGAACACCTTGTTGTCCAAGGACCAAACGTTATTGGGTTTGCGAAACAGATGAAAATAATTATCTTAACGATGGCGACGGACGGAAAAAGCCACGGATGAAAGAGTATGAAGATTTTCGCTCTCGAGACTTATTAGTTATCCTCCGATTGGTTATATTGAAAAAAAAAAAAAAAAAAAAAAAAAAAAAAAACAAAAAAAAAAAACAAAACAAAAACAAAAAAGAAATATAAGGAAAAAATAATGAAAACCATGGTTTTTCAGACTAC